AGAGAGAGAGAGAGAGAGAGAGAGAGAGAGAGAGAGAGAGAGAGAGAAGAGAGAGAGAGAGGCAAAGGAAAATATATATATAACGAAAAATAAATATCGAGCCAGAGTCGCAATGGGCGAATTTGATATAATAAATAAAATCGGTCTACGCAGCAGCGCTCATGAATGTGTGTATGATTTACACACCCGATTTTGTTGGTTCAATGCCTTATTTTTATACAGCTTCGCCTCTATCTACAACTCTTGAGCTGCGTGCATTTTTATGTGTGACTGACGGAATATTCTCTTGCTCTCACCATATCAGATGCAAAATATGATTTAGACGACGTTTCAGCGGCGTTTTGAACCGCGCCGTTTTGTTGATGAAAGTTATAAAATTTTATTAGCAACACATTCTTCACCCAACGAAAACATGACATAAGAGAGAAATAAGAACGAAGAACAAATACGATATTTCTCTTTGGGTATTGTAGTTTGCCGCTTAATTTATGTCTATCAAGGCCAACGAAAACCAGGCACATTTCACTCAAATGTCAGCGTTTTAGTGTGGTGTGCGTTTATGTGACGCACCACAGAGACGACAGCGGCAGCACAATGGCGAAACGGCGTTTGTGATCAAATACATTACGAAAACATGAATGGTCTATATAAAATGCGTTATTCGCATGAAATGAATGACGAATGATTTATGGCGTTCCATTTCGATTTGTTTCCCTGTGTTTTCGCTCCAGTTTTTTTTCTTTTGTTTCGTATCCATTGCTTTGGCAACTCGTTTCTATCCGCTTTATTCGTCGTTTGCCACATTCGATTTTGCAATTAAATTATGTCATTGTTGTTTCTATTGCGTTTATGATCCGTCTGAACTGAATGATAGGCAGGGAAAATTACTCTTCACAATTTTTTAACATAAATTTATTTTGCTTCAATTACAGATGACTACTATCCAGACGGACGTTTAAATTAACTTTGAAGTCAACGCGAACAATTTTGAGGTATGTAAAGTAATGATCAGAAATGGCTTTGAATTTTTTTTATGAGACAAGTTCCCGACTTTACGCTTGAAACGTTTCTACCTGACTGCAGTTCATCACACGGCTAAACTGAACAAAAAGAAATTGGCTAGCTCGAGAGAGCCAATCATACTGCAATCCACTGTTCAAAATATTATTATCTAAATCGTAGCGTCGTTTCTCACTCATTTTGCTTGAAAACTTTTCATGTTGAAATTGTAAAAGGCGGACATTGATTTGCTGACACAACAAACAGAATAAGATGGGCACATCAAAAGTGGCAAGCAGTTTTTGTTGCCAGTCCAGAGAGTTTATACGCTTGCAGACTTTTGACTGCAACAACGCCATTGTCAAGCCGGCATTTCATGTACTGTTGTGTGTAGATGAGTGAGAAAAAATTAATTTCTTTCTTCTTGCATATGAATGTCATTCACATCATTCATTCGTATGTTTAACTTTGATGCTTTCACATACACACACACACACACACGAGTGAATACCGAAACCAGCATAAATGGGTTTGAATGCAAAACCCGTCTAAGCCGAACGTTCGATAAGATGCATGAATCCAATTGCGTCAAGATTATAAAGTCGAAAATGAGGCATAAAACGAAATGAGAAGGGCCGAAGACGAGAGATATGTGTAACATGAAAATCTAAATCTTATTATACAATGTGTCCGTCAATCAAAAATGCCGTCCGTGTATAGTTCTAGGTAAACACACAATCACTCACACAAACAACAATTCAAGAGATGAGAAAAGCCGGTTAAATGTCATATCGTGTGTGTGTGTGTACGCAAAACCAAATCCCATCCTTTCACTATCTTCAAACCACACAATCCATTAGCCCAGCAGCAAAGTTTTGGAATGCATGTGAATGCGTTTCACTCTAGACCAAACCAGAAGACAACCAAAAACAACGAATTAAGTGCAACATAATCTTCAGAGCGATTCGGACATCATACAAATTCAATCGGAATCGTCTGTTTCTTGTTCGCTTTGTCTCGCTGCCACGCCGTCCAACTCTCTCTCACTCTCCATCTCTCTCAACTAAATAAATTTTCAGTCGTAATTTTCGCAACATATCACATCTCACAAACAGGCACATCCTCACATAAACAGACGGATGGACAGACAGCCACGGCATATATGCACTGGCATTGATTCTCTCATCTAAATCAAAGTCAAACCAAATGGCCGTTGCAGCCAAGCCAAACCAAGCAGCAAACTAAATGTGAGACAACTTGGCATATTCGCCCAGAAATTATACCATACGACTAAATCGGATCTGACTTTGATTTGCAAAGTGGAAATTTTCGTTGTCAGATATGGATTTGATTGACACATTGTCGGCGCGCCGACGATATTTTCATTCTACGCCGTTCTATTGCAATTAATTTTTGCACACACACTCACACACGTAGGAAAAAACGCTATGGTTTTAGGAGCGAATTACTCAGCGGCGCTCAGATGTCTGCGGAATGTTTGCGGGGAACAGGGAACAACGGCGAAAAGGGCGATTAATCGCTGTAAATCGTTGCATTCACAAACTATTATTACCTGCCTTCACACTGCCCATAATAATGAATGCAAAAACTTTTTGATGTGAATATGATTTAATTTATTTTCAATCAAAAGTCAGACAAAAACGCATCGAAGCAGGCGGCAGCAGGTATTACGTTTTATTTGCCTCCTGCATCGGACAACGAATGAACGGCTCTTTGTGGATAGGCTTGTATTCGTACTGCAGCTGTCACAAATGCTGATATGAAACTTGATGGCCTGTTAATTTTATGACGAGAGTGAAAATTACTTTTTGCACCGACGTCCGAGAGAGTCCAAGAGATTGCTGAGAAAAAACAACCAAACGAGATGAAATTGACATCTATTTGTGTATATGTCTTGTAGTAGTGCATGTATTAATCGTGCAGCAATCGATTTTCTTCTTCTTCTTCTTCTTCTTCTTCTTCTTTTTTCTCTTATGGGTTTTGAATGGAGTTATAAAAAATTAAAATTGTGTATCGCAATTTGCACATTTAAGCACTTTTCGGTACAAATTGATGGCATCATTTAGCCATGGTAAAACGGTAAATCTCGGCGGATTCATTTGAGCCAATTGGTTGAGGGACCCATTAGAAACGTATGCATAATATGGGCACATTAGAATTTTCTAAATTATATTCAATGTTCAGTGTTCATATGCTCTGCGATATGTGAGAATGTGTGGCTATTTACAACATTTAATTTTCACCTTTCAGTAGCCGTCAATCGGCAGCCAACCGTTTCAGAGATGTTGCATAGCTAAGGTGATAATGTCATGCTGATAGCATACATCAAGCGTCGGTCGAATTGGGATGAGGGGGCTTTTATATGTGATGTATAAACTTCTACGTTTCCACATTTCACAAAATGTTCTTGGGTGAGGCCCGGGCCATCAATCGAGCATGAACAACGTGTGAGCATACACTGAACATGCAACGTGCACTATAATCAACGTACAACCAATAAAACCGCTGTATGGCCCAATGCTGCTATGTGCATTCAAATCAACTAGCAAGCCGAATGTGGCTCGATGTGCAACGCGGTGACGTATCACGTCACATAAATACACACGCCGTAAAGCGATTTTGAGCAATTTTCCGATTTGATTAGACGCTGTTGCATGAACGTCGTCTCGCGCGCGCCATTCTCGCTTCAAAAACGGTTTGAAATCGTTTATCATTTTGGTTGGTGGTGCTATCGAGTGCTCACTGCTTATGCATTGGCAAACACTTGACACAGAGAAACGGATGTGTTACGATTCCATTCAACCGTTTGATTTGGAGCTACACACGGCGATATATGCATGCAGAAATGGAAACGCACACACAATGTGCATGGAAACACGCGAAAAATCCCCATTCATAACCAAATCTGCTGAAGCCAATTTCAACGGGAATGCACCACGAATGCTCAACCCTTTCGCACTATTCAAATCATTCGTACACGAGATCGTTTGCTTATGCATTTCGTTGCCAAACGCCCCCCCACCCGGTTCTGTACGGTTTTGCATTGATTTGTTTGTTGCAATTCGAGACCATAACTTTTCATGCTACTTTCCACTTTTCGGGCCATCCACCGGACGCTTTTTCCCTATGGCGTCTCCCACTTAAAAAACGTTTTAAAACCCAATCTAAGTGAGTGTAAATTTTCCGCATAATACATAAATATGGTTGTGTCGTTGCATTGCGAATGGCAACACATTCTCGTCTTATACTCGAGCGCCCCATACTTCGTCGTCGTCATTCGGCGAAAGCAAATAAGTATAAATTTTCGTTTCACCAGCCATTTTTCTTTTTCGGAAACATGCAAGCATTCGCTCGTTGGCTCGTTCATAGCACATAAGAAGAAAATATTGATGTGGGAAATGGGAAATAATTCTTCCACGCGGCAGTGTGGCCTGTCTTCCAATCCTTTTGCCACTATACGGTGATGAGCTTGGATTTGACGATGTTGATGACGATGATGCGATTTATTCCTTCAATGTGCTGTGCTGTGCTGTGTTGAGACTAGCAGCTTTCCCATTGCCAATTCATAGTGCGCCTCGAAAGCGACTCGGCAAACACAGAGAGAGAGAGAGAGAGACGGCGAACGAAACGACCAACAATAAATAAATGGCACATTTGCACACAAAATACTTGTAGCAAAATTTAATACATAGTCGTAAATTGCATGAATTCGCTCGGGTAGTGAGTGGCGGTTCTTGCGATTCTCACACTCATGCACTTACACACACACACACTCACCGATTATGTTTTCATGCTCTCGAGCAACGAGAAACACTCAGACGAGATGAAGATGCGAATGGCAAATCACAACTCGTCTTTCAGTTTCTACCCATTCAACAAAATGCCATCACATCAAAATGTGTGCACGAAAGATAAAAGCGAATGTGCAGCGTCATTCGGTTTCGCCTGTCGCTGGTACATGTTACAAGTGCGCTCACTCTCCTGTCTCTCCCGTTACACCCGTACACCCGCCAATCCTGTGCATTTCACATTCTCTCAAGATGTATGGCCATTAATAGTTCTGGTCGGTTCCGTTTTTCGAGCTATCGCTCGTCTGAATTGCTATCGTTTGCTCTCGACGTTCGCTCACAAACAACGAGAAATTTCTTCATCTTCATTTGGTTGAAAAGAACATTCTGCTGCTTCAACTGCTTTTGCTTTCGATTCCAATGTCTTTGCATCATGTATATATATGTTGCCGAATATTTCTCGGTTGCTCCGAAGTTGCGTCACATTTGTGCACTCAAAATGCAAAATACAACAACAACAAATATAATTTATTTGAGGAACTACTCGACGAACTGAAAACAAAAAAAGCGCATAGCAGTAATGCACACATTTCGTTTCGAATGACGTCTGTTCGATTGAGCAAAAATTCTGCACGCTGAACATGTGAATGGTTTATTTTTTCCAGGAAAAAGTTGTTCTAAATTTCGCTCTCGGTTGTATTTTTCCTTCATTTTTCGCTTAGCCCCATCTCGAACGTTGACTGCGCGAGACTTTAACCTACGCCCAAACTGGATGACTGCAGATTTGCCACTTCCACTCTCTGGATGTGTGTTCATGTGCAGTGCAGTGTGTGCCCTGCACTCAACAGCAGCAGCGGCAGCAGCAGCAGCAACCAGCATTTTCAGCAATCGCGCGATGTCAATAAATTCTTTTTGAACTGTACGCGATAGCAGTTAATGTCACAATGTTTAAAATATATGGCAATATTTGGGGTTGATATGTATTTCTTCAGGTTGCACTATGTCTCGTTGCGATATGCATTTCGTTCCAATCGTCTTTTGAATTCATTGGTACGCGCGTAGTGCAGTGGCTGTTGGACAGGGAACGAGTGAGTGAGTGAGCGAGAGCGAGTAAGGGAAAAGAAGAGCGCGACAGCGAGAGCAAGAGGCAGAAATGCCATTTTCAGTTTGGATTGGCAATGCCA